ATTGATTTTGGAGAATAAGGATATACGCTCACTGGCTATTTTATTAGGTCTACCTTGCTTATACCAGGTTGGACTCTATTTAGCCTTCAGAACTGCCTTAATTCTTCTTTGCATAGATTCAACAAGGTGTTGGAAAACATTCCTCAGAGATTTTGGTCAATATTGAGTTACTGTTGCCTTTCTATCACATTGAACCAGTCTGCCCATTCTCCTCTGACCTCTGACATCAACAAGACATTTTTGTCCACACAGCTGCCTTTCACTGGATATTTCCTCTTTTTTTGATCATTCTCTGTAAACCCCAGAGATGATTGTGCATGAAAATCCCAGTAGATCAGCAGTTTTAGAAATACTGAGACCAGCCCGTCTGGCACCAACAACCATGCCACGTTCAAAGTCACTTAAATCCCTTTTCTTCCCCATTCTGATGCTTTTTGAAGTTCAGCAAGTCGTCTTCACTATGTCTAGATGGCTAAATGCACTGAGTTGCTGCCATGTGATTGGCTGATTAGAAATTTGTGCTACCAAGCAATTGAACAGGTGTACCTAATAAAGTGGCCGTTGAGTGTATATTATTGCAGTTCAAGTTAATTGCCCCTAATGTCTTCCAAGGAGAAAAATCACATGTATATGGTAGTTTTAGGTGCACCCTATGCAGAGTTTTTTCAGATATCAAATTATTGCTATCTAATGTCTATAGACATATTTCAGAGGTGAGTGAGTTACTGAGACAGTAGTCCGATTCTGCTGCAGACAGGTAATTCCCCCAGACACCAGCCAATATTGTAAGGAAAAGGGCATAAATATCCCTGTTCTAAGGTTATACATTCTTCAATTTTTTTTTAAATTTCTTCCTGTTCTATTGTAAACATCAGTGTAATGTTGGAAAACAAGTCTGACATTTATGAGCAAAACAATTTTCTGTTTCTAATAAACCAAATTCCTATTCATTCCTGATGTTATATTAACACCCACTTTCAGGCAATTTCACATGTAAAAAATGTGTATTCTTCCCCTTCAAGAAATTCATCAGAGTTATATGAGGACAACAACCACAGCCAGTGGTTGCTAATATTTCTGTCCAGCTGAGAGGTTTTCTCATGAGAATGGGTGCAGTAGTGGGGAAAGTGAAGTATGCATAGAGATGGGAGTCTGAGATCCAGAATGATGTCATTGTGAAAGTACTGAGTTATAGGCTGTGATTTCCTCAGATTAAAAAGGTCAGGAGGAAAATTAGAAACTGAATACCTTGGCACACAAGAAAAAACATCTATGGAAGTGTTTTTTTTTTCTTTTGTGAAAGTGACAACTTTACCAATATTTGGACTTTATCAATAGAGACACCATGGAACTTTTCACCGTTGGCTTGTTTGCTAAGAAGGTTAAAGTGTAAGGAGCTTGTGAACAGTTTGAAAGGTGTGGCAATGACATTTAGTTTTTCCATGTACTGCACATTGTTTCAGTTAGTATTCAAATAAAATGAGGCATCTTCATATGACTTAAAGATCAGAGCACTGGATGAACACATATTTCAGGTATGTGGATTAATTAAGTTGACTAGCTAAGATCATTAAAGCATACTGTGGAATCTGGTTAGGCATCTTCAAGATAGAAAGATTTACCAGGAAAAGGGATAGTTATCACTACAGAAGCTCTGAGCTCTGGTTACCTCTATGGAGGAATTAACGAGAATCAATAATTGCTAATAAAAGTAGCAAAGCAGTTACTAAAGAAGTGCCAGAGTGGTAAAAAGAAAAGCAAGAGAGCTCTGGCTAAGGCCTTCTGTTGACTGGGGGGCAGTCCAATCATAGTCACAGCTAGTGGCCACCAATAGCCACTGCCATTTAGGGGCCTAGGGGAAAAATTTAGGGGTGCATTAGGGTTGCAATGGCCAACAATCAACAGCACAAAGGGTACATGGTTAAGTGTAGACCACTGGAAGCCAATGTAAATGGTCACCATTCGCCAGCTAGCCAACTGTGAACAAGGGGAAATATTACTAGGAATACAGAAGGCCACAATGCAAAATGCTGAGTATATTAAATGGCTGGTGAAAGGAAGGTTGTTGTATAGGGGTGGGATTTGGGGAAGTGATGGAATACCATTAAATCATTTTGTAATGATTTTGTATTGGTTCCACAGCAATTGATCAGAGTATTGTAAACTTCCGGTTTGGACTGTGCAGGGAGGTTAAAGAGGAGTTCCACTCAAAACTTGAAACTCCACTTATCTGCCTCCTCACCCCCTTCACTGCCACATTTGGCAACTTTTGGGGGGAGAAGGGAACCTGGTTTTGACAGGTATTTGCTCCCAGTTCTGGCTCAGTTTGCCATGGCGAACTGAGCCGGAAGTTTGGCTCCTCCTCCTTCCTCCCGAAGCCCTCTGGGACACTTCGCAGGTCCCAGAGGACTAAGGCTCATTCACAAAGTGTAGAGTGCTTTGCACATATGCAGTAGGAGACTGGCTGTGAAGCCAAGTCAAGGTATTGGTGCCAGCACCCGATAGCTGATTGAAGAATCAGCTCAGGGTGAGGACCCTAAGGGATCCCTGGACAGGAAAGTGCCCTAATATTAAAAGTCAGCAGCTACAGCAACAATAGGCTCCCTCCAGCAACAATGGACCCCCCCCCCACAGAAAAAATACCACCCCAGCAACAATTGATCTCCTAGAAGCTAGCATCAATGGACTTTCCAGCAGTCAGCAACAATAGACCCCTCCCTCAACAGCAAATCCTTTCCAGCAACAATTGACCCTAACAACATAAGCCCCCCCCCCACAGATAAGCAACAATAGACCTCCCCAGAAAAAATTGATTGCTACGCAAAAATAGATCCCACCCAGCACCAATAGATCCCCCAGCAGTCAGCACAATAGACCCTTCAGCACACCCCAGGGCCCCATGCCATTACATACATTCAGTGCTGGAGGTGCTGGAACTGCGTTCCCTTGCTTTCCTGTTGAAAAAAAGCCCTGCCCAAAACCCTGGGATTCACTTTCAGAGAACATCAGAAAGTCATCTTCTCTAAACTCATTGAAATCAAATCTAAAAAGCTTTTTCTTTAGACAAGCTTTTGCAAAATTGTCAATTTTTTCATTTCTTTTTTTCTTGTGTATTTCTTCTGTTTTCCTTGTAAAACACTTTGAGAAGCTACCTTTAAAATATATATAAAATAAAGTGTATTATTAATATTTTATCATGGTGGGTCTGTATTTTTTACGATTAAATTAAAGCTGCAAAATGCATTGAAAAGCAGAAGATAGTATTTAGCTAGTCTTTATAAATAGAAACCAAATCCAGCATATGCCCCCTGTGACCTGGGAATTCCCCCATATGCACCCATCCTGTAGTTACTTTAGATATACCCACCCACGCACATACACTATATCCTACTCCTTGGATAGTTTTTATGGCATTTATCGTTGCTGCCAGCAGACAGGATGTGTGGGAGATATGGAGATCTGGAGACAGTGCAAAAGCCATCAATAATGACATGAAGATTTTCCATTCTTTTGAAAAGTACATATGACCTTGGTTAGAGCAACTGCTATTTTGAGACTAGACAGCCCTAACATGCAGATACTGTACATACAGATACACGGTAAATAGGAAAACCTGCCAGGCTTCATTTACCCAGATGTTGAATAAAGAACAATATACAGTACATACTGTATATCTGTGTGGCTCCAGCCCATATTCTGCCTTGCTCTGCTATGCTCTCTCTATTAATGATGGATGTCTGGGATAGAAAACAATGTAATAAATGGGCCTGCAGTATAAAACTCAGAATTAACACTGTCAGTGGGCATAGACTACATTTTTGTAGGTCCACCATGAGGTGAGCATTTTCATTTCCTCAAAACGGGTACAGTAGAAAGATGTATGATTTTTTTTCTTACATTAAGGATGTTGAGCAAAATATTTCAAAACGTTTTTTTAGAAAGTATTATGTAGAAATTAGTTTCCGGCATCTGGATACTGTAGAATTTCCCCACACTGAATTACTGTTGCACTGAAGATATGCAATAAGATTCCAGTAGTGTACTGGCGATGGCCAAATCAGATAAGCTACCGGCAGGTTATTTTTTGCATTCAGAACTATACAATTCATTAATCTAGGAAGTTTGGAGGTTAGACACATGTAGATGCAAAACTTCAAAGCAATCAAAACATTTCTGTTTGCCAATTTGATTTGTAACTTGCTCCTCAGTCAGGTTGTGCTGTGGAGACTGGAAAGCCTTAACCACTTCAACACTGGGCACTTTTATCCCTTTCCTGCCAGTCCAATTTTCAGCTTTCAACGCTGTCACATTTTGAATGACAATTGCATGGTCATGCAACAATGCACCCAAACTAAATTTTTATCATTTTGTTCACACAACTAGAGCTTTTTCTTCTACTGGTATTTAGTCACCACTGGGGTTTTTCTTTTTTGCTAAATAAATGAAAGAATTTTTTAAAAGAAAAGTTTTTCTTTGTTTCTATTATAAAATTTTGCAAATAAGTAATTGTTCTTCATAAATTTAGGCCAAAATGTATACTGCTATATTTATTTGGTGAAATTAACCCAAATCAGTGTATATTATTTAGTCTGTAGGAAAGTTATAGAGTCCACAAACTATGGTATATATCTGAAAATCGTACTGAATGCCAATCTCATTTCTCAGGACAATACAGATATCCCCCAAATTTCCCCTTTTTTGAAAGTAGATAGTCTGAGGTATTTTAGTAAGAGGCATGGTGAGTTTTTTGAAGTTGTACTTTTTTGTCATAATCTTTTGTAAAATGAAGAAATTAAAAAACAAAATGTTAAATTTTTTTTAATTTTCTATTTTATTTTCCTTTTTTTTTTAACTATTTTTTTTTTTTACTTTTTTTTTATACCACCCTGTGACCAGAGTTATACAATGTTACCTTAGTAACATTGTACTTCTCTTGGGAAGTGATCAGTATTTTTTTTTTACACATTATGATTTCCTATAGCAATGCATTTCATTGATATAAGCAAGCATTTTACTGAATGAAATCAATTAATTCAGTTTGTTTTGTTGTGATTAGCTGTGATTGGCCACAGCTACTCACAATACAGATGGGCTGTGATTGGCCCAGTTTGTATTATTTGATCACTGTGACTAATCACAGCTAGCAACACAATTGTATACAATGGATGGCATAAAAGGAAGCCATCCATTGTATACAATTTTCATGTGACCTGCTGTGATTGTTCAACCGCTTGACCTAGGAGTACGGCGGCAAAGTGGGTCTCCTGTGCCGGATCACGTATCTAGTATGTGATCCGGCACTTCCTGCACGCCAGCTTTGCTGTGTTTAGTCAGTGGGTGCTGGACAATGATTGCCTGCAGGCACCCGCTGATTGCCAAGAAGGAAGACAGGGCAGAGCTCTGTCAATGTAAACAATATAGAGCTCTGTCCCGTTAGCGGGGATATGCTGGTTTTTGTTTCCCTGCAAAGTGGGGAATAAAACCTGGCACATACCTTAGTGAAAACACCTCACAGTTTACACATAAACACTGGTTAGGCAGACATTTAAACCTTTGATCACCCTAAATGTTTAACCCCTTCCCAGCCAGTGCCAGTAGTACAATGACAGTGTATATTTTAGCACTGATCACTGTATTAGTTTTTGTGATTCCCACAAAGTGTCAAAAGTGACAATTAGTGTCAGATTGCCCATCATACTATCACAGTCCTGCTTTTTGTGTTTAGCTGGTTAGTGGGCATGGAGGAGGAGTGAGGGAGTGGGCTGTCATTTACCATTGTGTATAAGCCCACATGTGTGACTCTATAGTCACATGGGCTGCTCAGATGTGATAGGGAGGAAATGATCAGCATACAAATTCACTGAAAACTGAGCATGTGCAGAGTTGCCTCTACATGAACATGGGGACATGAACAGAAGGTGAAGATAGAGAGTAGCAGGATCAACCAGGTTTTTTTTCAGAATGCAGAAAACAAAGCCCATAGTGACTGAGTATGAACAGCATGTAATACGGCATTTATTGATGGTTTTTTTATGATGTGAGTTTAGTGACACTTTAACCACCTCCCATCCGGCTGTTGTATATAAACGGCCGGACGGTGGCACTGCAGGTTCGGGTGGCCGTTTATAAATGGCCCCCCGCACCCTGCTTGTGCGCGCTCCCTGGGAGCGCGCAGCACCGCAATCCGATGCCCTGCCTCCGGACACAGTGAAACACCGATCGTCGGACTGGACCTCTGTACAAGGTCTCGATCATGTGATCACTGATTGGCCAATCAGTGATCACATGCAAAGTAGTAAGCAAGATGTCACTTGTGACATCACTGCTTACTACGTGTGAAATCTGTGAATGATCACAGAGGTCACATGGTACAAGGCTATTCACAACAGCCTTGTACCATGTGACAAGCTGTGCCCAATCACAGCTCACTCAGTAGTTCTCAATGGCTGCAGGAATGCAGACAGAGAGAAGGAGAAATGATTGCTTTTACATCCTATATGGGTGTAAAAGCAATCAGTGTAAAAAAAAAAAATCTTCATCACCCCCCACAAGTAGTACAGTGTACTGCTAGGATGACAGTATGTAAAAAAAAAACCACATAGATAATAATATAAAAAAATAAAATAAAAATGTAAAAGAAAATGTTTAAAAATTATAATTTTTGGTTATAAACTAATTTGGCTTATTTTCTTTTTACTAAAAAGATAACGGAATCAATTTTGGCCAAGATTTATGATGAAATATTATTTATTTGCAAAATTTTATAAGAAAAACACTTTTTTTTCAAAATGTTTGGACCTTTTCATTTACATAGCAAAAGAAATAAAAATCCCAGCGGTGAATAAATACCACCAAAATAAAGCATTATCTGTCTCAAAAAAATGGTAAATTCATATGGATACAGTGTTACATGACCGCGCAATTGTCATTCAAAGTGTGATAGCACTGAAAGCTGAAAATTGCCCTGGACAGGAAGGGGGTAAAAGTGTCCAGACAGGAAGTGGTTAAGGAGTTCTTTCTGCCTAATGCAGCATAGAGAACCCCATAACTGGATGAGAGGCTGGGGTTCCATGACTTCATGTGACTGAGCTCTCCTTCCATTTATTTTCCCATTTATTTTTACTGCAATCACATTCCAGCCATTGATAAGGATTGCAGTAAGCACAAAGAAGATCCCTGTTTACATTGTCTTTACTGGCATTGCCCCATCAGACACCAACTGCCTGCAAGTGCACAGTATCTTCCTCTGCACAATTCTCACAAAGCTATCCCCTGGTTTACTGTAGGAGCATGAAGATTGTAGCTGGCCCCCTTAGCATTCATCATGTCCTAGGCCTCTACCTAGGTTTTCTTATGAATGATCAGTACCAAAGCAGGGGAGAACATTATGCACATTTGTAAAGCATATCACCCAACAGTCATTCTGCAGTTTTTTAAATGTGTATTTTTCTACACATATTGTGATTATATTGATAGTTTTCTGCTGGTATTAATACCCCCTTGTCGCCCGCTCAAAGCACATTCACTGCAAGCGAGTTGCAGCTGCAGGCTTGTCAACATACATGTACGGTGGCGCCTACTTCCAGGTTTTTGGGTGCACATGCAAGCGCCCCCTACTGACCCCTACTGACCCCCCCCCTGCATTTTGGACACAGCACAAGTTTGGCAGGTTTCAGCCAATGATTTCACAGGGTTCTGTGTTTACAAACACACAGATCTCTTTGTAAACAGAACAGCAATCTGGCTGTTTCTTCTCCCTCAATAGGAAAGAGAAAAAGCAGGCAGATCTGTGAGTAAAAGCAGCACACATTACACTTGTTAGGCACGCAGTTGACCCCTTGATTTCCCCTTGATGTTAACCCCTTCCCAGCCAGTGTCATTAGTACAGTGCACAGTATTATATCTGTTCACTGTTTTAGTGTCACTAGCAATGTCAGTGTCAGTCAAGTGTCTGTCCCAGCCAGTGTCTGTTAGTGCCAGGTTGGCCATTACTCTATCACAGTCACACTATAACAATAACATTATAAGTAGAGATGAGCGAATCGAAGTATCCGAAGTGGAATTCGAGTCGAATTTCGGAAAAATTTTCGATTCGTGCCGAATCCGAAAAACAGCCTAATTCGGACGCGCGAAGAAATTTTTCCGAAAATGGCGGGCTGACATGTGCGGCGACGGAGCGGGATGTCGGGGAAGGCGCGCAGACAAGGGCGCGCTGCCCCATAATGCATTCCTCAACGACATGTGATCGCATCAGCCAATCAGCAGCCAGCCAGCCAGCACTGTGTAATGGTCGAGGTATATATAGCGGCCATTTTGGAAATCTTCATTTGCCTGCAGTCATTGAACAGAGGCAGACCGCTCTGTACTAGGGACAGGGACAGAGTTAGGGCCACAGAAACAATACTTGGGGACAGAGAGAAGTTACTTAGGGACAGAGAACCATTACTCAGGGACACAGACTTGTTAATGAGGGCCACAGAATCGTTCTTTTAGGGACAAAGAAACGCTAGTTAGGGCCACAGAATTCATACTCAGGGACAGACAGAATTGTTACTACTCAGTGCCAGAGAATTGTTACTTAGGGCCCAGAAACGTTATTAGGGCCACAGAATTTTTACTCAGGGACAGACAGAATTGTTACTGAGTGCCAGAGAATTGTTACTCAGGGACAGACAGAATTGTTACTGAGTGCCAGAGAATTCTTACTCAGGGCCACAGAATTCATTCTCAGGGACAGACAGAATTGTTACTCAGGGACAGACAGAATTGTTACTGAGTGCCAGAGAATTGTTACTCAGGGACAGACAGAATTGTTACTGAGTGCCAGAGAATTGTTACTCAGGGACAGACAGAATTGTTACTGAGTGCCACTCAGAATTGTTACTGACTCTCACAGACACAAAATTGTTACATGCACAGACACAGAATTGTTACTCAGGGGGACAACACACAATTGTTACTCAGGGCCACAGAAATTCATTACTCAGGGACAGACACAGAATTGTTACTGAGTGCCAGAGAATTCTTACTCAGGGACCAGACAGAATTGTTACTCAGGGACAGACAGAATTTGTTACTCAGGGACAGACAGAATTGTTACTGAGTGCCAGAGAATTGTTACTCAGGGACAGACAGAATTGTTACTGAGTGCCAGAGAATTGTTACTCCACAGACACAAAATTGTTACTTGCACAGACACAGAATTGTTACTTGCACAGACACAGAATTGTTACTCAGGGCCACAGAATTCATTTACTCAGGGACAGACAGAATTGTTACTGAGTGCCAGAGAATTGTTACTCAGGGACAGACAGAATTGTTACTGAGTGCCAGAGAATTGTTACTCTCACAGACACAGAATTGTTACTTGCACAGACACAGAATTGTTACTCAGGGAGGACAGACAGAATTGTTACTGAGTGCCAGAGAATTGTTACTCAGGGACAGACAGAATTGTTACTGAGTGCCAGAGAATTGTTACTCAGGGACAGACAGAATTGTTACTGAGGTGTGCCAGAGAATTGTTACTCAGGGACAGACAGAATTGTTACTGAGTGCCAGAGAATTGTTACTCTCACAAGCAAATTGTTACTCTGCACAGACACACGAATTGTTACTCACTTCGCACAGAGACAGAATTGTTACTCAGGGCCACAGAAATTGTTACTCAGTGGGGTCAGACAGAATTGTTACTCAGTGTGCCACAGAATTGTTACTCAGGACAGACAGAATTGTTACTTGGTTGCCAGTAGAAATGTTTAGCTTACATGCAGACAGAGACACAGAATTGTTACTTTTACTCCATGGGCCACAGAATTGTTACTCTCATTGCACAACGGACAGACAGAATTTTGTTTACTGAGTGCCAGAGAATTGTTACTCAGGGACAGACAGAATTGTTACTGAGTGCAAAATTTTGTTATTTGCAAGAAAAATTTTGTTACCAGGGCCACAGAACATACTCGGGGACAACAAATTTTTTACGATGCCAAAAATTTTGTTACTCAGGGACAGACAGAATTTTTACGATGCCAAGAATTTTTCCCCACAGCCAAAATTTTCTGGGCCGGGACAGAATTTTTATTTGCACAAAAACAAATTTGTTACTGAGGCCAAAAATTTTTACCAGGGACAGAAGAATTGTTTTACTGATGCCAGAGAATTTTACTCGGGGACAGACAAATTTGTTACTGATGCCAGAGAATTTACTCAGGGAAAGACAGAATTGTTACTGATGCCAGAGAATTTACTCTCCAGAAAAAAAATTGTTACTTCACAGCCAGAATTGTACTGCACAAACAAATTGTTACTCGGGGCCACAAATTCTATCGGAAGGAAAAATTTTTTTACTGATGCCAGAAAATTTTTACCGGGGAAAAAGAATTGTTATGATGAAGATTGTTTTAAAG